CGCTGCTGATTCCCTCTCTTTTCTTCGTTCCACTATGGAAAAAGGAATCAGAGACCAAGTTCCCAACTGAAACAGCAGAAGATCGAAGGAGATGGTTTCAGTGTGGAGGAACAGGAAATGGGAAGAGTCTGCTGGAAAAATAGAAACATCTGTTTTTGACCCATAAACTTCCATTACACCTGCTACAACTCCTCAAAGTAAAAAGAGGGAAAGCATTTTTGAATGAATGCTTTGAAATGAAGACCAACATACCTCATGTTAATGACTTTCTTTGAAGGACCTGTTAGCTTTGAAAAAGGATAGTCACCTCCGTTGCAAGTTACCTAGAATATTTCAAATTTGGTTTTAAACTTATTTTATAAACACTATTTAAGAACTGCTAACCTTCACATTTAACACTTGAAAATATTTTTGGCCAAGGGACATGATTCTCAGTGCTTGATAGCATGATTTAGTATTAGTCATGTATGTTTTGCTTTCATCTCTCGTGTTTATTTGCACTGCTCTAGCAGCACTACTACAGACCACACTTCATAGTTAGAACTTGAAAGTTTTAATTTTAACACGGGGATTCCCCTCCAAACTGAAAACAAGCTTCTTTTCAACTTAGAACAAGGAAATTTCCGACTGGCTTGGTGCTAATTCTACCACAGAGGACGTCTGGCATTATATTCCTTCATCAAGGTTTGCCCAAACAGTGAAACATCCCAATCAGCTTTACTAAACACTTTCCCACACCCCTCTCCATCAAATTAGATACGCAGCTTTGTGCTGGCCTTTTAAGAAAAAAAAAAAAGTATTTGTACTTTCTGCTTCCTTCACTGCAAACATATATCCAAAAGCTTAACATTATTTCTCTCCCACCACAGACCACCACCAATGAAAGATTAGTCGTCTTTTTCACCTATTTCATGCATCTAAGTTGAAAGACAGGAAGAGGATGGGAGGTGTGGCAAGGCTGACACCTCATTTAAAGGTCTCTGGCTCTAGTGAGAGTCTCCCTCCAGTGACAGAGGAAAGAAAGTGACCATGAGGTTTTACTTTGACAATCAAACACACACACCTAATCTTTAGCGAGCTTGGTCCTGGCTGTGAAAGAATAAAAAAAAAAAAATTTAAAAAGTTAAAAATGGAGCTACCGGATAATTTAGCCTTGTAGCTGAAATCCGTTTATGAAAAGGAATGAAAAGCAATCTACTTTTGACTGCTACTTCTACTGAAAAGAAAAAAAAAAAATCAGGAGCTCCAGTTGCAGCATTTCAAAACTTTCAATCCTCCAACATTAACATCAGGCCCTCAGCATTACATCACAGTTTGGATGGCGTATACTTTCTTCAATCCATCTTTGAGTTTAGCTCTCTGATAATTTAGTAACAGTGGCTTTTGAAATAGACTGAACTTCTGCGATTCTGGATTTATTTTGGGAGCACGTATCTTCAGGCTATTTCTCTCCTACTATTATCTTGGAACTAGCTATCCACTCAAGCCCTCCTACCAGAGCTGAAACATAATACCGTAATTTTCTATACAGCTGCATGCTCAGTGGTGGTACAGGAGGACAGCTACCAGAACTATTATCTTGGTTTTTTTTTACTAGGAAGAATAAGCATCACTTGGCCCACCAGGATCCAGAAGCACTAGTTAAATACTGGCAACACCTCCTGCAATAAAAGCAGATTTTGTCACTTTAATCCCACTCCCATTAGTTTGATGACACTGGGTCTGCTGACAATATTCAGTCGAATTCTTTACATCCTTCATCTGCTGCACACCTCTGACCTAAGCTGCTAAAACACAGGGATACATTTGCCCCCTCTGCTGTCCTACATAATT